ATTCTGATTCTGATTCTGAACAAAAACGTGGTATTATTGATGCTGGAATATAAAACATTTATAGAACATACATGCATACAATACCTAGCATCACAATAAAACATATCAGAAGGAGAACGTTTGGTGAGATTTACAGGTGAGATTTCTATCAAAAACCTTAAAGCTGCAGTAGGTGAATCTTCTAAAAATATCAGAGAAAGATTAGACCATTAGGAGCATTAGGAAGAGCCAGAGGAACCTAATTGTTTCACAGATTATCCGTCTCATATACTACTGTCAGAATATAGTGAAAGTTTATTTAAAGTATTGAATAGTTATCTACTGCAGTTTTAATGGACAACTTCCCATCCTGTACAATGGTTGTGCCACCAAATGCTACTTTACATTTGCTACAACATCGACTATGACCACACACATTTACGAAATTATAAAGTAGGAAGACAGTAATAACCAGTATTCCATTTTTATTTAACCCAGTGAATCTTCTTTAAAACCAGCCATCAATAGACTCTCTCTCTGGTGACTCTCAGATTGTTAGATATAATCAGCCTGTGATGTTTGGTGCATGCCAGGGCTCATTCTGTCATGAAATCATGCAATTTGCAGATCTGTTTTTGTTTATCCCGCTTTCTTTACTGACTGAATAGTCGAAAATTAATTGACTAATCATGTTAAAATAAAAGCTAATGTTGCTCTGAGTCAGCTGTATGTGAAAATGATGCGGCAAAATTATGATAATATCAGTTCGGTCAGTGCTGCCCCCTAGGTTGCCAAAAAATGGTATTAATGCAGCTGTAACATAAATAAAAGACTGGGGTCATTTTTGACTATTTTGTCCAAAAATGAGAGAAAACTTATTTCATACACTTAAAATCAATAATAAACAGTGATATTAGAAAGCTATGTTGACTGTGTTACAAAGAATATAACTGATGGTTTTGGCTCTACAATATTTACTCTACTGAATATTTCAACATGCCATCACATTAACTATTGTATATTTGGTTAGGTATTGGCAGCAATACAAAACAACACATCCACAATCTTCAGTTGACCAAAACTGCAGTGTAGTACATCAGCAATTTCTGTGTTCATTTATTTTACAGTGGATATCTAGATTTAGGGCATGCACAGCATCCCTGCAATTAATTTGCAGTAGAAACATAGAAGTGTGCAATAGTGGTAACAAAGAGAAGCAAAGGCAACATGCGGATGGAGGGAGATAAAAAATATCACGTTAGGAGATGAATTGTGTGAACATGCAGCGAGCTGTGAGAGAAAACACCTTCAGACTGCAGTGTCTCCTCCTCGAGATATAAATACCATCCCAGACATTTTACAAGGCCTCTTTGCACATCCAGGATATTAACTATGGGTGTGATGCCTTTACTCGTCAATTATGGGTACAAAAATCATTTCAACAGCAGCGTGGCATAATACCCGAGTGAATCACATCACCTATTAGACAACCACAACAGCATGCCAACAGAAGCCAAATGAAGAAAGATGAAAAGGGCACAAAAATATCATAACTGAATCCAGAAAATAACTCATATAAAGCTGGAACGAAGAAATGGGGTACACTCTAAAAAACAATTAATCAAACACAGTAAACCACACACACACAGTAATCCCATTATAATTACCAGTAAACCACCACGATTTATAATTCTAGTGATGTGGACATTATTGTCCTGCTGTAAGAAGATTATATCTTTTAATTTATACACAACAGAGTCTTACACTAGGACTCCTGTTGTCCAGTCTGGGGATTTACCATTAGAGACTATCCTATCACTGTTCACTGGAGCACAGCTGACAAACTGCAAATTAGACCACGGGCGACTCACAGACCTTGAGCCTCACCCTTCACCACAGGGAAAAACACAGAGCTCAGTATGTCATCAGATCACTCAATATCTCCCTCAGCTTTTCACTACCTTTCACTGTGCTCCTTCTGTTTAACTTGGATTCTCACTCTCACACCAATCACAGCTGATGAGGAGAATGTGTCTTGTGGTCATATTGGAGGTCCTCCATCTTGGCAACAATCAAGTGTGCCACCGGAGTAATTACAGACTTGTTTCATGTTTAATTTGAATCAATTAATACAGTGTTTCCCAGGTTTTTACCTTAAGGAAGCCTTTTTCTATGTGACATAATTAACAGATATTTCCTATTATAAACAACAATAACAGTACAGTACAACTGATAAACTGTACAATGAACCCAAATAGTGAACACAATAACTGCAGGAAAACAAGTGAACAAGTGATTTGGATGAGTTTAGAGCAGATTATTTCCTGTGACTGATCAGAGATGAGATTTACTCTGAAGTTTGGTATCTTTTTACACTTTTTTCTTCTGTATTATTTATTTTCTATTTTCTAACAATCACACACTACTATCATACTATCTAAACTATAGAAAAATACAATTTCATGTAGTTTCCTTCACAGAAAACCACTGAATTAATACATTGATACATTTTTGAAACTTAACAACTGGTTAATCAAAAATGCCATTAATTAATAATTAGTTAATTAATTAATTAAGACTTTACATTTGATTTGATATTGTATTGCATTACATCAGGCAATTCATTTGAAATTTAAGTTTTAATTGTTATATATAATCATAGATGTCTAATCACACTGAAATGTGTTTGAAACATAGAATTTGTTTCCTGCTCTAGCATTTACAGTTTCCATTTCAGGATCGCTTAAAGATGGCTTACCTTTTTCTCGTAAACAATCACAGCTGACATGTTAATATTCACTGTTTCACATAGTGTGTATCCTTGATGCCTAAAACATTTTTAAAACATATTTCTTCCTCGTAAAACAAATTTTTTTTATTATTATTATTATTTTTTTTAAACCTGCACTGTTCACATCCATGTTTCAAAAGAGTTTTTGTCACTGCCTTTGTCGGCGCATTGCTGCATTTCTTGGTACAGCCAACTGTGCAGTGGAAAGTCTGAAACCACTGTCTATCCCGCCCCTGACATGACAAAGCATGTGAAAGTGTATCCACATGAATGAGCAAGAATTAACAATAAATGGTATAAACATGGCTCCATAGCACAATTTATTAATTATCATTAAAACCTTGTAAAAGCCTGGAATTATTCTGGTGGCACACAGGCCTACGAATACTTTTATTTCTGGGGGTTTTGGCTTTTCAGAATATGAGCTCTGCTGTGTCCGCGCTTCTTCTTAAAGCAACATTATGTAACTTTTCTACCTCAAAATAACAGCTTCAACATAATTTTGACGCAGGCAATGTAACTGGACTCAACAGCTTATTTGGACATAGCTAATGGCAGAGGCTAAGAGGATGAAGGAGGAAGCTAAGAAGAGAAAAAGAAAGAGTGGCTGAGCAAGAAGCCGCTGGACAAGAGTAAATGTAGGACTGACTTTTAGTCGTTGGCGACAGCTTTGTGACCTTCCCATGACATTTTCCAGCAGTTTTTCTTGACAATACAGGACTTGCTTACAAATGGTCAAATAAGCTGCACTTTCAGGCAAATTGACTATGTTTTACTTTCCTCTAACCGTAACATTAATTTGGCCACAGCCCATAAGTAACAGTCCAAATAAAGCAGAATGTAGTTATTTTTACAAAAAATTATCTTCTAAAAAGTAAAAGTGTTTGTTGCACATACAATTAACATCATTGCGCATATATTTATCAACAACTGTAAATTGCGGCTGTGAAAAAAATAAGATGATGCTGAAAAGATCACTGCAAGTCACTGCCACTGATAGACGATAGAAGTGTCATACAGGTTATCCTACCAACAGAGTTTTAAACAAAATACACACCTAGGTTTACACTGGTGATCTGAGTGACGGGCCAAAATACAATAAAAAATCTCCAGGAAAACATAGAATATTATTATTATTATTTCCAGGTGTTTCCATGCTTGGAAAACCAGTCTCTAAATTACCAGTCTCCAGGTTTTCCAGGACACTTCTTGCTGTTGGACTAGTCAGTAATATTATCTGGCTTGCTATGTCTTGTGTTGTGGCACTTGCTTGATGTTTGGCTGTGTTAGCAAAGTTGTTGATTTGCTAGATCATAAGTAATGTAATTAATGAAATGCAGGTGTACAGATCTTACATAGTGTTGCTTTAAGTAAGCTAATGAGTTAGCAGTTAGCTGTTGGTGTCTGTGATAAGGAAAATGGGAAACGTCACATAACAAATTCTTGTCAGGAATTGCTGTTTTTCTTATCACCAAACAGAATATCACAATAGCCTTTTTTTGCGAGCCCTCTGTCACCTTCAGATTTAGCCATAATTATAAAACACCCACTACGCTGAGCCCTTTTTCTCCTATCTGCCTTGATTGATCTTTGCTTTTTCTCCTAGTTTGACTATTTTTTCCTATTTTAGGGCTGCAGACAAATGGAAGAACAGACCTCTCGTCTTTCTCTTCATCCTGCGTTCCCCTGCCCGGCAGCAAGGCACAAGGAGACAAAGGGTTAAAGTCAACATGCAGAAAGAAGAACAACAGTTTGTAGACAGTAAGAGAAGACAGGAGGAGAAGAAGCATCAGGAGATTATCAGCAGTAGTGGTTAAGGCTGAGGCATTCTGAACAGCAGAGATTTCTCTTTAGATACTGGTGTTGCAGTGCATCCCTACAGGATTTCCAAACTTTATTTAAACTTTATCAGACAGATAAAGTGACACAGGAACACACACATCCCACTTATGATTTTTAAAAAATACTACATTTTCCCCACAATCCGCCACTTTATTATGTAACTAAACTTTTTTACTTATCTGTCCAGAGTCCAATCTAGACTCACCTTGTGGTTGGCGATCTTTTTTTCCTTTCACAGTGGACGGCATCAAAAAATGCAGCATTCCAAAATCGTAGTGTATGCCTGACAGAGAGAATGGATGACATTTAATAGGTTTCCTGCATGACCTGACCATTCCTGCCACTAGGGATGGGGCTACAAATTAAGGAATTTATATGTATGTATGTTTACTCAAGAACTTGTGCTACTTCGACTTCCTTCTCATATTTGCGGAAACTTTCACTATATCCTAACAGTAGTACATGAGACAGATAATCAGGTTCCTCTGGCTCCTCCTAGTGCTCCTAAACTCGGTATTTGGCCACAGACATCGACTGGCATGAAACGAAAACCAAATCAATCAGAGCTGAGGAAGATGGAAAGACACTTTGGTTTGATAATTGATTGTTGAGTCTGATTCCAAGTGTACCAAAGTGGTTGTTATCGTTCAGACCCGGTGGATTCTTGCAAATGCCATTAGGAGCACTAACAACTATAGCAGGTCAATCACAATACTAAGCATAGAGACGTTGATTATGCTGCAGGAGTGACTTGAGAGGTTTTTATGAATGTTTTGGTGTTTTTTGGGGTCACCACTGATATCCATTGTAGCTGCTGGAAATCCAAGTTGACAAAGGCTGCAGTCGAGCGTAAAGGAGAAAGGCACCGTGTATTTAATACTCAAAAGGTAGATTTTCTCTGGAGTATATAGTTATGAAGTCCAGTCCATTTTCCTTAATTTAATTTAATCATCTTTACTAGGGCTGCACAATTAATCAAAATATTATCGAAATTGCAATATGCAATCCGCAGAAGCTGTAATTTGTTTGATAAAGGTAAAATGTGACTGATAGCATTATAATGAAGCACTGTAGTTCTGAAGAGATACACTGGCCTACAAATTTTGTGTGTTTGTTTGGTACAGACCCCAAAAATGATCATGATTTGAATAGTTTTTTCAGGGAAAATCTAATTTGTGATGGAAAAATTATCATTCACAAACAAATCCAGAATCATATCGCAATCTCTCTCAGAACAATAACAAAAATGTTTTTACCATATTTTTCTTTTTAACCAAAATTACTGAATCATTGAATGAATTCTTCCTTAGTCTCTGTAGACAGTCTTGTTTGAGAGATATAATGACCACATAATGAGCTTCTTAACAAGGACAGATGTTCTTTGTGGACAGAGTTTCCTCAATTTACCAGATGGGCTGCTGCTTCAGGTGGGTGTACAGGTACACCTTCTCTGCTTTCTTATCCTCTGGAGCCTCAGACACTGGGGTAGAAGAGAAAAACATGACACTGGCACAGCATAATCAATGTTTATGAAAACTAACAAAGCAGTGGAGCTGGAGAAAGAAAAGGCTTTTTTTGAACTGTCTGTTGCACTGAGCTGCAGCTCACGTCTTTTGTTGCACTGTACCTGGTGATATGGGCTTTGTCTCAACTGGGCTTTCCCCATCCCTAGAAATAAGAATGAGAGAAAAGGAGTAAGGAATGAAAACTATGCATGACTGTGTTAATGAAAAGTATTCAGAGGGGGAGATGCCTTTGCTCACTCTGTCTTGGGAGCCATTGAGCTCCTCAACTTGCTCTCTAGGCCTCCGAAGAAGCCTTTGACGTCAGTCTTTGATGTGTTTTTAAGGAGGCGCTCAGCGGCATCCTTCTTCCCAGACAGCCAGAAGTTGGCCTTGTTGAGGTACGAGTCCAGACCAGGTGGAGGACCACCGCGATCCAGAAGCTCCGAGGGAGATGGTGGGGACTTCCCTGAACAAGAGGAAAGCAGAGAGTTCATCTATCTGTATTAATTAAATATATAGCAATAAAAGCCAAATTGCTCAAACATCAAGTTGTCCTTTTAATCCAATGTCCCTGTGATGTCCTTGGTCCAACGCACTGCAGACTGTTCAGGCTAAAAAACAGTGTACAGAGCACGCATTGTACAGTTGACAGACAGCACCTTGCTGTTTAATCTCACAGGTGTTGACATCATGTGGCCTGTCTGAAATTTGATGGAGCAATTAGCTTCATCTTAGCCAGCTGCCACTCACTGAGCTGGAAATAAAAACAATAATTTGTGTTTTGGATGGATCCCTCAGTTCATAGTTTCTCACACTAAGAACTGAAGCCCCTTTTCACACAAACACTTTTATCCCAGAGATAACGTAAGCCCAGGACTATACGATTCACATTGCACTTCTACTAGCCCTGGGGTAAATGTCCCATGGAACATGGACTAATGTTTACATTTATGTTTATGGCTCTAGATGGAAACTACTGGGAAGAGAAGTGTGGACCAGGAGTACCCATTTTCCAACAAATTAGCTCTGGTTCTTGAATCGGTTCCACTCAGGATTCAACAACACTCAACTATAAATAATATCCTTATTAGGAATAAAGTGTGAAAGCTTTTTAGCCTGGGGCTATCACCTTCCATAGCCTGGAGCAAAGAGAAAGTTCTAAGAATGCTTTTAGCCCTGGTTAAGTGTACTGTGAAACAACATAAAGACTTCTGTAGAACTGTCAACATGCACAGTTACTCTTCCTTTGAACCAGGTATGTTTCCTTGCAGGGAGACCTTTTTTAGCCATTCACCACTATGCAAAGCTGCCTATAGTGCAGGTGTACTTTAAAATTATAGCAGACCTGACTGCAGACAGATGCTGGTGCAATGTACAGTGCCATGGTAGATTCCTATTCACTCAAAGCTTCCTGCTTGCATAAGCACAGGCACTACCATCATTGCACATGTGGTTGTGGTGTTGTTGCAAGAGAAGCCGCAGGGTCAATCAGCACTGAGGGGTGATACTCACCAAGATGCACAGCTGGTTTTGTTTTTGCTGTGCAACTCTTTTCTCAATTCAACACCATGTTGTGTTTACGTTTCAAAGTCTGGCACATGAACAGACAATACGTGACTGAAGAGAGACTGAATTAGACCTTACCACTGTAGTAGTATGTGAAGCACATAGTCATGAGGTTTTTGGCCGGGCTGTAGTCGTCCATCTGGTAACATCTGTAAACACATAATTTCTTTAGTCATGACCTCACTGCTAGAATTGATCAATTTGTCACTAAAAGGATACGTAGGTGATGCTCTATATTTTTAATATTGTTAACAAATTCCATGAATACCCACAATGGGTTTCTGCTATTAATAAATAAAAAGCATATATAAGATATATCTTCTTGTTCTGTAACTCCATTATTGTCCACATAAAGTGATATGCTCCTTCAGTACAATGAAGAGACACACTGTAGTTTATTTTGACTCAATCCCACCAGAGCAATATATATACATATATTATTATTTTTTTTTTGTATGCCTTAAAATCAAAAGGCCTTGTGACCCCTCTGAAGCTTGGCAACACCCAGGTTGGGAACCACTGTACTAGAGCATCAAATGTGCATTAATCCTTACAGCATCGACAGATTTTTGTCTTTTCGTGGGAAATGTTCTCACAACAATTACAACTTTTTATATTATTGCTAGCCTTATCCTTTACAGTCAAACAGCATAGACAACTACAGTAAGTTGGTCTCCAACAGGGTCAACCGCATACAGACTCACTCGAAGAGTACAACTGCAAAGGACTGCACCAGTCGGTAGAAGGTGGCTTCACTCACACATTTAGAGTGGCAGCGCTGTAAATACAAGTATGACAAAAAAGTTATAAGCTTATTCAGGATAAAGACAAGATCTCAACAACCATAAGCTTACACAAGTTAAAGAATAAAAAGATTTCCCATATTCACCTGTGCGCTGACGTATTTGGCAAACCACTCCCTGCCTTTGCCGTTTTCTCCGCTGCACAGCTCTCCAAAACGAGCCTTCTCTTCCTGGTCAAAGTCCTCCCTGTGAAAACATGGGCCAAAAAACTCATTACAGCACTAATTTAAAGACCTTGTGAAAAAACAGTATCATCACAGCTGGTTTTGTTTACTTAATGACTTACAAGATCGAAATGTCCTGTCTCAGATTCTTAGTGCAGAAAGCTAAACAGAACGCATTCAATCAAACATACATCACTCAATTGTTCATAGTAGTAGTATAGTAATAAGTTTGGGTAGATAGAAATGTTTAAAAAAAATTGTAAGCTAGGTTGATGTAGAAGATTTGTGTGTGAACAAAAATACAAAAAGATTGGCAAATTTTTAAATAAATGGAAAATGGACAGCAATTATATAGCACCTTTCTAATCGTCTGACCGCTCAAAGAGCTTTACACTACACGCCACATTCACACACCAATGCATATCATCAGGAGCAGTTTGGGGTTCAATATCTTGCTCAAGGACACTTTGATATGTAGCGAAAGGAGCCCATACTTCCTGTGCCCCAGCTGCCCTATATACTAAATATATTCTGTATTGCTAGTGACGCATTACAACCCAGCAATAGCACACCTTGTTTTCATAAGCTTACAGCTAATGCTAACAGGTAATCAAGGGAATACTTCACCATTTTGGAAATGTTTGGCAGAGAGTTAGAAGAGAAGATGGGTTTTATCAGCATTGGACAGAGCGAGGCAAAGCTATGCTAACAGGCTACTGATTGTAGCTTCACATTTAGCATACAGCCTGAAAGTACTACCAATCTTCTCACTAAACTCAAGACAATATGTTTATTTCCACACATGTTGAGCTATTCCTTTAAGGACTTTTTCTCTACAGAGTGACCAACTGAAGAACCTAGACAAGAAAGCCACAGTCAGTGTCACGCCAGTTTGCAAAAAATGGTAACGGATGAGTGTATCACAACATCTCAAAACATTTTCAATGCAAATAAAACTCATTTTAAATATCCAGAATTTACAGGTCAAATCTTATTGCACCCAATGTCTTCTGTGATTATTTTTTCAATTTTTCCGTGTTGTTGTTAGCATGTCGACCAATCAGAGAATGTGTAGGAATATGTGTGAAATTTAGCCCATTGCCCTATCTACAAGATCTATAAAGCCTAGAGCTTTTTTTAAAATATAAAATATATTGCCTATTTCGATAGTGACAGCTGAAGAGAGAGAGGAAAGGGGGGAGAGACAGAGGGCATGACAAGCAGCAAAGGGCCACAGGTCAGAGTCAAACTGCTGCAGTAAGGACTCAGCCTTGGTAGAAGGGTCGCCAGCTCTACCAGGTGAGCTATGAGGGCAAGCGACCCTTAATAGAGCTTTAAAATAAACCATATTTCAAAGATGTAAGCAAAAATGTAATTAAGTAATCCTAGACAATGCAACTATAATTTAACTACACATTTTGAAATGTAATCTGTGCAGAGATTACATACACCACAGATTACGGAAAATTGGACGAGACGAGGAGCCTGTGGATGCTAATACAGCTAGCACAAGCAACAACACGCAAGACACAGATACTTAACACTTTGCAGCCACAACTGAGCTACAACTGGACCGAAGTCTATGGTAATCACGGCAAAAAGGCTTCTTTGTCTGTTTTTGTTGGAAAAGCAATGAACACAATGACATGAAATTCTGAAATGAGACATTTGTCTTCCATTTTGTTTCCAAAAAAAGAAATTTGGGGTTTCCCGGTATTTTATAAAATATATTTATCTGAAGGTAAGCAATGTCACTTTTATAAAATTGGCTTATTTTAATTTAGAATGGAAAGTAAATGTCTTCATTAAAATGTTAAGAACTGTACCAGATGCATCATAGGGCATCACATTGTATCACACCCAATTCTTACATATATCGCTTTGCTTACAGTATCGTAAGCATATTAAAATGCATCGTCCCTGAACTGTATCTAGATACATATCGGATTGTCTTAGAAGGGACAGATGCACACCCCTACTTACTATAGTACATTATGTTCATCTGGACATCTTACTCAATATGAATCTACTAGCAGTCATGAAAGATGACTGGACTGTCCTAAAGAAGGTAAAGAGGGCGAATGTCATTTCGTCAGCTTTGGAGTTGTCAAGGCAAGATGGATTATTAGAGATGAGGTCGACTTGCTATCTGTGGACCGCTGACCAACATATGGCAAATTACCTGACATGGTATTCAGCAAGGTCAGAAATGATTGGGCCTGCAGCAGATATACCAGAAAGAGTTCAATAAACATAGCTACCCTGCTGATATTTAGAAGCCTCCTTTTAACATTTCACCCTGCTCACATTTGATTTCTCAAAAGTTCATGTTGCACTGTTGTCCCCCATGGGCCTCTGCTGCTGAGTCACAGGAATCTCTGACCGGGTGAATGTTTCTAGACATTCTGGGGGACAAAAATGGAACAATGTTGATCTGAATATAAGTGAAAACACAGCCTAAAGCAGGGGAAACTGTCGGCGCCACACAGCCGAGAAAAAGGATGACAAAACAAATCACTGCATCAAAAAATGTAATAAATAAAACAACTAACAAAAAATAATATGAAAAAAGGGGTAAGATGAGGAGAAAAGTAGAAATAAAATACCCAGCAGTGCACTGTTGATTGATGATTGATGCCGGAGGGGCCCATCCGGTCCATCTTAAACAATATTAACCACTCTCTGAGATGAGCTGATGCAGCTATGGGGCACCTTCAGCGTTTCGCTCTTCCCCTGCATTCATTATATGGTGGCTGCCATCCAACCACACAATGCTCACTGCCCCAACAGCCACAACATCACTCACAGAAGAGTGCCTGCAAATGGCCTGCACATTTCACTACAAATATGCATATATGTTCTTTTGGACATGTAGCATTCAATCAGCAAATATGATATGATCTTGAAAATTACTGATTCTTTTCATTGAAAGAGTCCACCGATTTAGTATTGCACTCCCACAATACTGCCAGCAGAACCAGAGTTGGCTCAATGTTACATTTGTAACATCTACAATTAACATTACCCAAGCAAGCATGCTAGGAATTTCTCGCATTATACAAACTAAATAACAAAATATTGGTGTTATGTTCAGAACAATATGTGTGAGAAATTAGTAGCTTATCATGTGTAAATACATAACTGGCTGGTCACAAGGTACCCCTAACCCCTGTTGTAAGCGGATCTTGGTTCTGGACCAGCAAAGTGTTTTCCTGGCCACTGTCAAAACGCAAAAAAAATGGTTCAAGATTGGGCACTGGCTCTGAACCAGCCCTCAAATTGCCTTGGTGGAAAAGGGTAAGAGTGACATACAGCATATATACCCTCTATGTTTTTTCTTAGTAAATTCTCTTCTGTGGTTTGACCTCATATTCAAAAATCGGGTCAAACAGACCTTGTACATACATATGGTTCATTATAAAACAGAAGAAAAACATATTTTTTCCTTACTTTCCATGAAACACCTTCTCCACATAAGCCTTCATGAACTGCCTCCTCTCCACTGTCTCAGTGTCAGCGTCCTCTCCACTGTGAGCTGATGAAGAGGACGACCTCCTCAGCTCCCACATATGAGAGGGCGGGTCCATGTCGTTCTCGCTGTCTGCCGACTCTGTAGCATCGCTGTCATTATCTCCTTCCTCTGGGTGGTGGTGGCGGTGGTGGTGAGAGCTGGGCTCAGTTGGCACCATGGGCTCTGGCAGTAAGGGCTTCTGGTGGACTCCCATGGAAGACGCCGGCTCTGGGGAGAAAAGGTCTGTATGGCCTTGTTCCTGGCCTACATCTACACCAAGAGTTGTGGCCTCTGAGGGCATGTCAAAGTCTATTAGGTTGTCCACTGCGACGCCCTCCATGTGGGAATTAAGTCCCTTTCTTTTAGCTCTGCAACAGTGCTTTCAGAGTGAGCTATTCGGTGCTCTGCAGGAACATGAGGGTGGACACATACGTAGTTGCTAGTTGGAGGTTTCAGCTGAGGTCACTGTTATTATTGGGTTTGGATTTTGCAGACCCTCCCACCCCCGAGGGTGCTGACATCAAGTGAATTCACAAACCCAATGCATCTGTGAACAAAGGAAAAATTAACACTGTGGTCATCTTGTACATCCAGTTAAATGTACTGGGTAACCTAATAGAACAAAATGGCATTGAGAGGTAAACAATACAGAGAATACACCTCTGTAAGGCTGTGCTTTGAGCTAACGTCAGCATGGTAGCATGCTGACAATGACAATGCTAACATGCTGATGTTTAGCAGGTATAATATTTACAATGTTCACCATCTTAGTTTAGTGAATTAATGTGCTAACTAGGGCTGTGTATTGGCAAGAATCTGGTCAAATGAAACTAACTGGCAATAAACATGTCATTAGTCTTTGGTCATAAAGCAAAGTATAGTATATAGTATCCTGAGAAAAATATGAATGTCAGTTCATCCAATATTTGTCCAGATATTTCAGCCTGGTCCTGATCAGCTGGCTGATATTGCAATCCTTATGCTACATGGCTAACACGGCTAAAAATAAGAATTTCAACTGAATCTTTAGCCTGAATCTTTAAAAAAAAAAAAAAGGTCCACATAAAGCTGCTGCCAAAAAGGAGGGAGGAAAAATCACTAACACTAACTGCTGTTTAGCAGACAGTTTGGATTTTACTCAATTTCTATTTGTCCAAGTGCTTGGACCTGACACTATCTGAGGTGTGTTTAATTTGTCCTTCCTACTGAGTGTTTTATCCCCTCTCTCACTAGATCGCGTTGCCTACCAGGATGTAACTTAGAGGAAGGGAAATGTTTGCTTTTGTCATCATAAAAATCAACTCTATAGGCCTTTTTCCCAGCAGACATTTTGGCATGTCACAGACAGATAATCACAGGTGCAGGTAATGAAATTAATAATGGCTGCAGCCTCTTAGGTGTATCAGTTTCAAAGTCTTTCTGTTGTCCATGCTGTATACTTCAATGGTACAGAGCAATCATTAATGATCTCTGTTTCTCCTATGCTTTCCCTAAAGCCTGATAATCAGGCTAAACATTAGGGTGAAACACTTTGCCATCACAGTAGAGAAAGCACAGGTGTTACTATTAACATTATTGATGATGGCTGCATTCCATTTAGGTAAGCTATTTCTTGGGTCCTGTATTATGCACACTAGAATGAATACTGGGACACTTATAGGAGTTCTCCAATGGGACTTTTGGCCATGTTGAGTCAAACCATGTGGCACCGATTTGCATTTCCATTGCCAGTTTAAGCACACCTAGTTGTGCTGCGCAGTGCTCGAGATGAACCATTTGCACAGTCATGATTTTGTTTTAGTATTATTGCAGTCTAACGTTGTGTTCATGTTAGTCAACATTTTCCCCTGTTTTCAGAGGTTTTATAGATACATGTCAGAAAATAGTGACAAATGTTGATCAGTGTTTCCCAAAGCCCAAGGCGACGTCCTCAAATTTGATTATAAGATATTCAGTTTACTGTCATAGAGGACTAAAGAAAGCAGAAAATATTAGTATTTGCAAAGCTGATATCAGAAAATGTGGACATTGTTTCTTAAAAAGGACTCGGAAATGATTAATCCATTATCAAATCTTTCGTTGGTGATTATTTTAATAATTGATTAATCGACTAATCGTTGGAGGTTGGTTTTAATTAAGACGTTGGAAGTGATTCAAAGGTTTGCACCGAGGCTACTTCTCCCGCAGGGAATATGTCTGTTGTACAGAATTGGTATTATAGATGATTATACCAATTTTCGAAGTAACAGCAAAAAAAAAAGTGAATTTGAAAAGTAAGGTTATTTCCTGTAGCTGCTGATCAGGGTAGACATTCAGCTATAAAGAATGTTAGCTGAGCAGGTTTTTGTTGGCTGGCATGAAAAAAAACTTCCTGATAGGATACTCTTGTGCTTCCTTGACCTGAGGTTGTAGAAAGAGACTTTAGGTTAGGACACTGCTGCATATCAGTTTTAAGTTCACAAACATAAAAGCAGAAGAGAACAGGACACATCCTAGAATTGCAGCTGATCAAATAAGGAGACTCTGTAGCTGTTAGTGTAAGCAGCAGTTCCACATTGTGATTTAAGCTCATAACGTGGCAACTTGTACTTAAATATCATGCCCAGAGTTGCTTTAAACATGTTAGGTGTACCTTTTGCTTGTATTTATGAAATCAAGTGACAATTGAAGCTAACTTGTTCCTTTTTAGTCACACGTCAGCATTCATATCATGCAAATAACAGGAAGTTGAAATCATTGATTGAAAACCACAAAGACAGGAAACTCAAATCTTAAACTGCATATCTGATCCGTTCAAACAATTTCCCACAATCACAAATTGTCTGCTGCACTTCTGTACATTTATTGCGTAACTCAAACAGCCCTGTACTCAGCACTGGTTGAATGTCAAATCAATGATTTTATTTGACAGTTTTATACTGCTGACTCTCACTCAGGACTTCCCAGGAATCTTCACCCTGTCCTCACACCCTCTGAGGAGGAAAACAGCAACAGCTGCCTAGCCTTCATACACACACATCCTGCACTTCTCTGTCCTTGGGCTAATCTGCTCCACTAGCTCCTCTATCAGAGGACACTGTTTGGTCTTCTGATTGGACATGCACAGCTATACCGCTGTTAGCCTAAACACACATACACACACTTGCAGGCTTTGGGGCTGCTGTATGTTTGGGCTGCAGCTCTGAAGACGAGGTGGTTATGTAATGCAGTATTTAGTAAGACCCAGGGTGACACATTCAGACAGACACACACACACACAACATGAGGGCAAAGATCAACACACACATATACACACAACCATACACATACCTATATGTAACATGCTAAAATGTCAGCAAAAAAGGAGGAGAAAACAAAATGTAAGAAAATGAATGAATTGCCTCTCAAGCTGAACCTAAATAACTAGGATGGGCCTATATTTAAGCCATCCTGTCGGTTTAAAATCCAATAATTACTGGTTTCAATGATGTGCCATCTGGAGGAGAGTAATGTCCTTCAGCCACTGCTGAAACTGCAGCTGCTGTAGTTGATGACATTGTAGATCTGTCCAAAGCTTTTGATACTAATATTTTGTCAAATAAGCAGCTTTTCATTGGTTTTGGTGACTCTGCTATTGTTGCTGTGGCTTCAAATCAGGTGTCAAACAAGGATCAATATTAGGGCAACTGTTATTTACTCTAAACAGAAATATTTCTTTTTCAACTGAACATTGCAATGATCATTTTTATGCTCTTAATATCATCTTGTACGTCACTGGCTCCACAGGTAGGAAGTACTGAAGTAGCTTTTTTAGGTATCTGTACATATTTTTTTTCAGACAACTTTTTACTTTTACACAAATATAATATGTCTTACATTTTCAAAACAGGATTGTTACTTTAGTTACTTTGAACTTTAGTTTAGTTTTGCCACCTCTGATTGGCTCTACCGCAACCCAGGCTTTCTCTGCAATGCTTTTTCTGCTTTTGAGGACCTTCTATTCATTTGAAGCTTCTGAAAAATAAAACATATTTTTAAGCAATTTTTGGTATTTAACATGAAAGATCTCTGTATTTGTGTTTTTGTCTGTGCTCCACTCACGATTTGAAGGGTGATGTCAGGTACCTCTGTGCACCAGTTAGGGTTGAGCAACAATCTGATAACAGTTGGTGGGTTGTTTGGCCACTGTCAAACAAATCTGATCAAACCACACCCACACAGTCCTGATGGAGTTTGGGTGTCAAGCTTGATAAATAATACTTTTTTGTTGTTGTTTGTTTTAACTTATTTTATCAGATTTTTTACAGAAATACTTAAATTTGTATTTGTATTATGTATGTATTATATTGCTCTAAACTCCAAGAAGCCACATATACATTTCACAAGAACGAGAGCTGGGATGTTTCTACTCTGATCCATTCTCTTCAACTCACTTCTTCTTTAATAACAGGGCAAAACATTATGCACTCCACTATATGTATCTATACTGGATTATTCTGTATGCTAATGCTTCGCCAACAAACATAAACCACTGGAACCACTCAAATTCTGCTTAATATTAGGTTTTCATTCATATGTGTTTATGTGTTGGAATTATTATAGTTTTGTATTTTTTGTTAGTTAAGTTAGTTTCCAGAGTGGGATTGCTCATTTCAGTTTAGTCTTAGTTTCAGTGTTAGTTTTGTTATTATAATATGGAGCTATTTGTCAGAATAGGTATTACAGTACAAACACAGTGACTCACAGTTAGGGTTAGTCAGTCTCAATAAATGTATGCACCAACGCCTCCTCGTGCTTGCTGTGTTAACAGATTTGACCAAACTGACAGAGACTAAAACTAAAGACATTTCCTTTATGTTTTTATTTTGGTTAGTTTTGTAAGTACTTTGTGTGGCCAATAAAAACAAGTAAGTTGTTTTTATTGGCCACAGCCAACACAGACACACACACACACACACACACTGGAGTGCTCAGTAAATCAGTGTTCCTTCACTCAGACTGCAAAGGTTGCAGAATTTCTGCTTTCATGAGCCTGAAGGGGAGCCCACACCTCCAACACACACATGCATAAACAAACACTAAATGACAACCTGCCCCTACACCCCCCTTGAGGTAACGTGCAGAGAGGGAGGTGCTTCTTTCACGGTGGAAGACCTGAGTGATTTAGTGGAGGGGATCTCTGCTTGTTGCTGTCAAATGTGCAGCACAACAGCATCACAAGACCCGTCCTGCACCCTCTTCTCATCTACAGTGCACTTAGTATGATTCACACATGGAAGCGTTATGCAACGTGGCCCCGAGCCTCTCCCACCACCCCCAGGAAATATTATTCAGCACACTCGTCCGCAAAAACATCGCTTGAGCAAGATATGAGCGAGGCTGGTACCCTCAACACTCGCGCAGTTTCACAGTTCATCTATCTCTGTCACCCTGGCTTTATGAGCAATGTGCGGCAAATGCAAAGCAATCAGTCAGCTTTTCTTCCATGTCAAATACAGTATTATAGAATATCAATTCAGCATGTGGGCAAGGTGCTTTCAAAGGCCCCTTCTCAGGCCACTGGTCCATTACCCAAAGTGCTCTCTCAGGCATTCCTGAACAATGCTCAGCCTGACTGAGGTAGGAACCAATACCCAACTGGGGACTTCCCCGACCCACAATCCTTTGCCTTCCTCGTGTAAGTTGAGAGGGCAAGTTGCTCAGAATCCTCATTATTGTGTCTACTGGGACGTCTAAGTCACCAAAACATAGGCAGAGAATGCATTCCTTGTCTCACCACTTTTGACACTCCAAAAAGCTGTAGTTTTCTTCCTTCTCTTCTTGTGGGTGGCTTTAAGGTTGGTATAACCCTATTGCAGTATAATTCTATGACAGTATTATTAATATATTCTCTAGGAGATTGTTCCAACTCTTCATTTACAAGTGTTTCCCAAAGCACAAGCTGACGTCCTCAAATGTCTTGTTTTGTCCACAACCCATTGATTAATTCAATAGCTGACTAATCAATTAATCAACTAATTGTTGCAGCTTTAATCATATTATTATTACTGACAGGAATGATGGCCAAAGCTATGAAAATAGTGTTCTAAGTGTAGGAATATCGCCACAGCCTCTTGGAAAGTCTGAACCTTATCAGAAAGAAGTGTTTGTCCTGATTACAGGTGTCAACAGGAGCAGTAATAACTTTTATCACCTTCTATCACCAACAAGTAGGAACTACTGCTATGCTGTCTGGCAACAGCTTGACAGCAGGAATAAAGTCACATTGTTAAAATACAGCCTTAAAGCCAAATAATCACTGATTTACTGTCACTTACAATATGGTTGTACATTTTGGTTCCTTTTGGGCACACAGTGTGACAGCTACTGCATGCTACGACAGATGAGTGACAAGCAGAAGTGGCTGATGTGTAGAATGTCAGCTGAGGTTGGCCAGTGTACCAGCGGAGGGGACTGCACTTACTGATATAATCTGCTCACTACAGGCAACACTCAAAACACAGCAACACCACATCTGTTTTCAGGGGAGCGGCTGGATTTCTGGAGACAAAAAAACAGTAGCAGCCCATCATAGCAGCCAACATGAAGGCAATGGAACTGTAAATGGGCTGTGTATTGGCAAAGAATCTGGCCATACAATACGCATCACTTATTATGATTCGATATATTGCAATATATTGTGATACTGTAAGCAAGGTGATATACACGGCCCTCCTTCTCACAATGTGATTGGTTGATGCCTTTATCTGCATTGTGGAAAAAAATGATGATGCATTGTGTTGTCAAAGTACTCATGACATACAGACAACAGTTCCAAAAAAACGAGTGCAAAACTGAAACTACCAGGGTTTGGCCTTAAAGCACTTCCCACTGAAAGACACTCATACTCACTAACAGCATAACAAAGAGAGGTCAAAGAGGACGTGGGCAATCTGCACTAACAATACTAATACCATGACCACCTCTTGACACAGCATGTCAAATGTCTTGTTTCATCCACCCTTCATGTCACATCACAATCTCACATGTAACACAGTGGAAAACAAGTAGAGGCAAAAAGCCAGCCTGCGCAATTCATGCTCATTTAGAAGCTAAGAAATATTTCACGCTTTTTCTCCAGCTTTAAAGACACGAGTGGGAGACAAAAAACAGATAAACCCACGTCATTGATAGCCACAAACATGCACAACTAAAAAAACACTGCAGAGCCAGGGAGGAATGAGCGATGGATGCTGTAAAAGCTGGGAGGAAGTTCTCCCCCATGTGCCCTTCCAGATACCACTGAGCACAGTCTTTATCTGTCAACCCAAAGACCTGGAGCCCCATAATATTGTGTCAGGTTGGCATTTCCTTCACTGGCAATGGTTATTACAGATCCCTAGGTTGATGTAATGGAACAAGATACGTAGAGTGAATACAGTTTTGAAAGTGTAGTATGGGAATCTGTGATGAATTTAGAAATTACTGTGTAAACTGGCTACATGTTTTTTATTTTATTTAATACAGCTCTGCCTCCTGTGTGCGCAGTGTTCACTGTCTGTAGCTATTATATACTCATTATGTACTGCTTTATTTAGGGCCATGTATTATTATTATCTGACATCTGCCTGTGTACCTGCTACTCTATCATAAATGGATAGAACGATACGCCAGACTCCATTAACAAATCTATCAATTTTAAAATCCACTGCTTGTCAGCGAGCGTGCTTACCTGATTGACCACGACATGGTAGTCACTGCAAATCAGCAGCTATTTTCCAATGCGGCATACGTGACAGTACTATAAAGCAGCACATATGTTCTAAAATATCATTATTCTTTGAGACACCTCGCTATAACCCATCATGTAAAAGGGCCGACTTTGTTAGAAGAAGCGTGTTGAACTTACTTGAGGACGAATTACAAAAGTTGAAATGTCTTACAAATACAATGCGCTTGGTGGACGATACATGTGCCGAAAATATATTTATCTCGATAGAGTTGAGAAAAAGCTTTGTGTCATATTTCACTTGATATTAATCTTAGTCAATAATCAAGGTCACCGTATATTGCAACCTTACTGAACGAGGTTTGGTCTGCGCTGTCTCCATACAGGACAACCAGAATCTGCTGTGAATTAATTAGACTATGAAGAGTTTAAAACATATGAATGAAACATACTTGGACTCCCACAGTGCAGACCACAGCTTATTATTTAACACAAATGCTGACCAGTGAGTTCAAGTAGCTGGACTGGGCGCACTTGACAGATAGGAAGCAGCGCTGAATAAACACAGCAAAAGGCTGACGTTTCCTGTAACGTTAGCCGCTGGTCTTTTCAGGTAAACGGGGATACCCCACATCAGTCCGAGGGTGTATCTGCGAATCAAGCCAAACACACATCAGAACAACTCGAATTCAACAATAAAGGCCAAAATATCACGAGAAGATGAAAATAACCATCCTCTTTGACCCCAGGACCATTCAATTAAACCGAAATACATGCAAACATGGCACTCACAAGTCGTAAATACAATAATAAGTCTCGAATGTAAAAGTGTATATTTTATGAGACAACAACAGAAGTAACAACTTTACGTACATGAAATGTCCGTGCTGGCAGTGGGAAAGGGCTGCTCCTCCTTACTGCTGTTTGTGCGTCGTAGGTTTTTGCTCGAGACGGAGGTCTCGAGGCAGAAGAAGAGCGCAGGCGCAAACAGAGGTTAGCACGACGAGGGTGGGGGGACCCAATGACGTCGACGAGCGGCACAGCCAATGAAGCGCGGCCGAGCAGCCGTGGTGCCCCGTGAAGTCAGCGCGAATATTACCGGATGTTTCCTACACAATAAAAGCACGATGACTACATTTGGCCCTCGAGCAACAACAATTTAAGGAAACATTTATTTTGTGGAAGCGTTAACTGGGTTTTTTAATCAATTCTCTCCACTCAAACAGCTATACGCATTCATTTAATGTTTGTCATAGATTATTTAATCAAAAGAGTATAAATATTTCATTCCATAAACAGAACTGAGGGTTAACTGATATTAGGTTTGTTGACCTAACAACTTGTTAAATATTTTTATAATCATAATCTATAGTGTCAGTGTACTCAAAGGTTCTCTTTTGTAGAGTAAATGTTTTATTGTAAGTGCTACGACCGGAAATGTGCTTAGCACTTGCCTACACTAACTTGATGTGGGGTAAGCCCAGATACTGCTCAGAATAACGTCATTCCTTAGCCCGTGATGATGCATTACTATATCTCTGCTAGGTGAATGTTAACATGCAGTTCGCTTATCATTTGAATATGTTGCATGGCGTGTGAAATGTATATGTATATAGCTACGGGAAAACAAATTAGTTCCCAAATTTATGGAAAAATAACCTTTCATTCACTCATCTACATGATTTCTGTTTGCATATACAAACTATGCTATCAGTGTGTTTTAATAAGAGACACATTTCCCTTCTTTGCAATGAAAGCATTTCCTTTAATTACAGCTATGTTACAAAATACATGTCTAAAAAAGACACTTCTATGGAATTAAAAGACTTGGTTAAAGAAGCACTCTAAATCCATTCTAACACAGAGATAAAAGGCAGTAATTAAGCCATTAATGACTAATGAGTACATATGCTGTAGAAAACCCCCACAGATCTAGAGGAGGAAACACAAGATCTGCTGTGGAAACTGTCGACACATGCGACTACTCAAAAGTACACATATTTAACATGCCTTAATTGGTAAACAAAAAGTTGATTTTCAAAATGGGGGAAATCACAAAAATAGGTTTAAAATTCATTTGACATGTAAAATATCAGATTTACACTGGATTATTGAATATTAAGTTGTTTTGAATCCAATGGTAGCAAACATTTGCTATAACTCCTTGTAGTTTTAGAGATGTAGCCATTTCTACTACTATTATATTTAATCATCAGTCACTAGGGGTTCCTCATTTTATCCCACAGGGATCATTATAAAATGTCTCTAAGGTCTGCACAATGACAATCCAGGACCAAGAAAAAGCAACAGATTATCATTTTCTGTTTGAATGTATATTATAACAGCCCAGAATATGTGTGAATCAGAAATGATAAAGATCTGAAATTCCTAATTGGTTGCTCTAGAGGAGTTTTCCTGAAAAAAAAAGCTACTGCTTGTGACTAACAACTAGAAGCATGTTAATAAAAACTCATACTTTGACCCATTTGAAAATAAATCAATGGATAAGTTCTGAGCTCAGCCAGTACTTGAATGCTGCAAATGAAATGATACAATTCCACTGTGGACATTAATGGGTTAATCCACAATTTTTCTTATCCTTCATCACAATCAGGGATTTTGCAGAGTTCCTCTCACACAACATAAGAAGCCAATGGGACACAATGGCACAAACACTGATCTTGCTGTGATGTTTCCCTGCGCAGGGCTGTGGGCTGCATCCTGGCCGAGCTGCTGGCTCACAAACCTCTGCTGCCCGGAACCTCTGAGATCCAGCAGGTGGACCTGATAGTCCAGCTGCTGGGAACACCCAACGAAAACATCTGGCCGGTGAGGCTTCTCTTCAGCATAAACTTGTCTGTGTTATCTGATGAGGAATATACCAAACTGAATTTGTGTGTGTGTGTGTGAGGACAGGTAGAAATCCAAATCGGCCAGTAGAATTGACCGGGGGCTGCCAAGAGGAAGAGAAGACCCCCCCCCCTCTATATATATAGTGTGTTTTTTTTATTTTTGGAGCTGTTAGAATAGAAGAAGGGGACGCGGCGTTACTGAGGCGCATCTG